ATCAGCACTCAGTCCAGAGCAAATCCCTACTTTTTTGGACCCTCCTCCACATCACCCAGACAAAGCCCAAATCCTAAAAGGTCCTTCTAACACCCTTTTACTGCTATATGCCCCATAGTTCCTCACGGTGTGAGATTTCCCTCATTACCACAAGTACTAAACCCAATTTGTTTCATCAAAGGTATTTCTGGTGGTTTTTACTGGAGGACACTGACAACTATAATGGGAGGAAAAGATAGTTAAACTTCTTGGAGAAAAGTTAACAGAGTTTCTACCTGAAGGCTTCCACTTTCTATCTTAAGCAATAGCTGACATTATCGTGAGAAAGAGTGGGATAAATCAGAAGTTTGAGGAAAGTAGAAAATGTCTGAATTAAGTATTCTGGAGAATGAGACAGTGAGTTGACCAGAGAAACATACTAGAATGGTCAGGATCTATTAAGGGCACAGGTGAAGTTGGGTGACATGAATTCATAGCAGTACCAAGCTGCTCTGTTGTGTGATTTCTGTCACCAGTATTCAAGGTAAAAATGGATAGCTTGGTTCAACCAGGGTTTTAGGTCTACTAGAATCTAAGGGCAAGGGAGATAAAGGCACTGCCAAGAGAATTACTGAGTGATAAACTATAAACTCCAAGATCAACTGAGAGGGAACAACACAAAGGGAGTATCTAAAGAATACAGAAAACCATGGAGGTCCTAAGGAAAAATGGGCATAGCAGAAATAACTAACCAAGCAACCTGGAAAGATGAGATCAGGTTGGAGAGTGTTGCACTGGTTATGTGTGAGGCAGTGCAGCATCAGAAAGGAAATACAGGGCATCATGGCAGGAAGAGGTGGTAGAATCTGATGAGAAGAGATAATCATTGCAAACAAGACATTCAAGAAAGTGAGTGCTTGTGTGTAGGCTGCCTTCTTCTCATGGACACTGAGGTCACCTAGGATGATATCAAGAATTGAGGCAGAGAGGAAGTCTGAGAGCCAGCAACAAAGTCTTCAATAAATTGGGTGAATAACCAGAAGGCGAACAGCAGCAGCAGAGTGGTCCGGCTGAGTATGATGGAACTCAAAGAAATGGGATGGCAAACAGCAGCGAGGACACAAATCTCTAAGCCCCTAATCCTGAGATATGAAGGCTATGAAAGAAGAGAGGCACCACCTGAGAGGGCTTCAGGAAAAGGATGTCCCTAGGGAAGGGGAAGGGTTAATTAAGGCAGAGGGAGGGAGAGAATGGCTAAGGAGAGGCTGAGGAACCAGAGGCATCTGTGGATTTAGGAGTGCTGATTTCAGAGGACACAGCGAGAGTTTGGTGGGAAGGTTGGGTCACAGGTGAGAAGAAGAGTGGAAAACTGACTTAGGGGCATAGCATGATGGGCATGATAAGAGCATGGGAGAGTTAGCTACCATGGTAAGTAATGAGTAAGCATAAACCTAATATATCTAATCAGAAAAGTTCTGATGGTACAAGCCCATGGTGGATGACGATTTGATGACAATGGGTTGGTGGGTGGTGATGACAGTAACTATCAATTTAGAATACCTACTGTATGCCAAGCACTGTTAGAAGCACTCCACATTTAATGTTCACAATAACTCTTCTGAAACAGGTAATATTCTCATTATCCCTAGAAGGACTCTGAACTAAAGGAGAAAGCAAACCAAACAGAAGTAACAGAATTGTAGGTGCCCTGGGAGGCTAATTGGCTTTAAGTGTTATTTTAGGGATTTTATGGCTATAACTCACTTAGGGCCAGCCTGACCCATAGCTACTACACACTCAGCAAATTCAACCAAATAATACTCAGACTGGAAGGAAATCAAAACTACCAATAATAATTTACTGAGGCCTTCATTTTGTGCCAGACACCAACTGCTTTAAGCAATTATCTCATTTAATCCTCACACCCAAAAGGTAGGTTATCCTTATTATCTACCCCCACCCCCTTCTTTTTTTTGAGTCAGAGTCTTGCTCTGTTGCCCCAGCTAGAGTGCACTGGTGTCATCATAGCTCACTGAAACCTCAAACTCCCGGGCTCAAGCAACCCTCCTGCCTCAGCCTTCTTGAGTAGCTGGGACTACAGGTGCTGCTAATTTTTTCAAGTTTTAGTAGACAGGGCCTGCTCTTGCTCAGGCTGTTCTCAAACTCCTGACCTCAAACCATCCTCCTGCCCCAGCCTCTCAGAGTGCTGCCTACCCTCATCTTTAAAATGAAGAGACTGAGGCAGACAAAGGAGGGCAATTTGCCCATGATTCACTCACACAAGGGATTATCTAATATTATGACCTTCTGACAATATTTAGTGGCTTAATACATTACAGTGAACATGAAGATCACAATATCACCGAATCTGAAAGATATTTAACTTCTCACTATCTCTTCTCACAATCTCCTTGCACATTTTTTCAGAGGGAAAACCCAGTACAAAAAAGACTTTTATGAAATACATCCCAGATGGCAAACACCTGTGGCCTTATGATCCAGGATTTATGCTAGAAGATTGTGATTCATGAGTCTAGAATAGGTCCTGAACATCTGTATTTTTTATAAAAATCTCCACAGGCTATGCTGATGTGCAGTTCAGGTTGGGGCCTCCTGCTTTATATTACTTTGCAGTTCCAAACCCAACCCTCCCCTACTGTGTTTAGATGTTTGTAGACCCAAAGGGCATCAGAAACTGAGGCAGAGAACACCTAAAATCATAAAAATTATCCAAGGAAAGGTATGCTCTAGTTATACTGTTCCTCTGTACTTTTCTTTGCATCTGAATTATACCTGATTAATATTTTAAGTTTGTGAAAAATATTACCAACAATTAAATAAACCTAACCTTAATATGCTACTTAAAAGAATTTTATTTCTCTCTGACAAATGGCGCTTCAGATTCTTTTTGCAAATAGCAGTTAATGAGAAAAATTCTAATTCAACACTGCTACAGATGTGGTCATAGTAACTGAAAGCTGGAGAAGAAACAGCTGAGTGCAATCCATTTACATTCACAAACTTCCCCTGGGACTGCCTCTAAGCCTTTAATACTTAATATTTTTTATTTACTTAATCAGCCACCACTGACACCTACTGCATGCTAGAGACCACTCTAAATGCTCTACTACTGTTAAACACCATTTAATCCTCACAACCACCTACAAAACAGGTATTGTTATCACCCCCATTTAAAGATCAGAAAACTGAGGCACAGAATTTTACACAGCTAGTAAGAGGCAAAATTCAGTTTGACAGAGTCTGGCTCCAAAGTCCATGCTCTGAATCACTATGCTTAGTCTCCAAGAACCTACCTACAAACAGTGCAAGTCTTAATTCAAAACTATGGTTTTCCCCACTATATAATCCTTTTGTTCTCAGCATAAACATTACTGTCTAAATTACAAACTCTAATGGCATGAGGTATTTCTCAGCACTTAACACAAAACTGTAATTATGTACTTCATGAGTTATTGTTTCCTGCCTGTCTTTCCCAACTTCGCTGTGAGTTTCAGCAACTCTCACACCATGTCTGTCTTGCTCATCATGTACCACGTTTCCCTGAAAATAAGACCTACCCATAAAATAAGCCCTACCAGGATTTCTAAGCATTTGTGCAATAGAAGCCCTACTCCGAAAATAAGATCTAGTGATGGGCATGGCTATGCAGCGTATCTGCACAACCCATGCATTTTGTCGCTCATCGGTAAAGTCGATGAGCAGCCCTTCTCATCTGCCCCACCGTGATAGCTACTAGCCCAGAGGTGACCGGAAAGGTGTGGGCAGCCCCACCAACAAGGTCGGCTCCCTCTGTCAGGTCCCGGCCATCTTGTGCGGCTGCAAGCTGAGGCTTTGAGGGGAAAATAACACATCCCCTGAAAATGAGCCCTACGGTGTCTTCTTGAGGAAAAATAAATATAAGACCCAGTCTTATTTTCGGGGAAACACGGTATGTTTTCCTATCATTGAATTCCCACCAACCAGCCCAAAGTAAGGGCCTGACAGAAAAAAAAAGCTCTCAATTTTTGTTGAATGAATAAATAGAGAACACTCAAGCCTCATGTTTTCTCTTTCTGCGACACACACTTGTACTGGCAACACCCCCACCCCCTATGAGTTGAGCCAGCATGGTACTGGCTGTACAAAAAATATTTTGTGAACCTGGAAAGGTCATTTCCCCCTCAGTGGCCTGAGTTACAGATGCACAGTGGGGATCGTGACAACCCTCAATAGAATGTAACCTTTAACTGAGGGAGAACCTGCACTTCTCCTCTTCCTCATAATTCATCATCAACTCATTATTTGCTTCATGTTTGTTTTTCCAGCAAGACTTTAGCTCCGAGAAGTCCAAGACCATGTCCACCTGGGTATTCCCAGTCATGATATCCCAGGCTTGCACCACCCCTGGCACACAGCAGGAACTCAGAAATTATCATAACGACCCCCTGCTCAGTGCACTTCACAGGTGTGAAGCGAGAATCCCTCGAGTCTGGTACCGCATCCCTTTGGGCGTCCAAGTGTATACGTCAGACACAGGCCCGCCTCCCATCGGGGCCCCGGCCCCCTGGACGCCGGCCCCTAACCCCGAGCTCCACACGCACCTTTTTCACAAACAAGCATCCTCACAGGTGCCGCGCACGCCCTCTTCGTCGGTGCCGCAGCTCGAGACAGAAGAATAGTGGGTTGCAGAGGGCTCCCTCAGGCCAGCGGCCATGGACCTGGAGGTTCCTGGTACCGTGCCACCAGACACATGAAGCGGGTTCTACAGGCGACATAGGTAGGAGCGAGGAGCACGGAGAAGGCAGGAGGGAAGAGCTAGTATCTACCAGACTCAGCTGGCGCGCCTCAATGACTCCGCCCAGCAACCTTCGCGCTCATTGGCGCCTCTGCCGAGAAGCTCATTGGACAATTATTCCGCCCTCTCAGACTGCGGAGGCGCTTATTGGATGACTCTTTTGGCCCTGCCTGCATGACCCGGAAGTTAGCCGAGGGAGAAAGGAAACTGAAATTGGGTTTGAAAGTATACCGCAATGCTCTCTGGGAAATGTAGTCTTAGATGCTTTGTAGGGCCAGTTTGTCACCCTGGTGAAATTTTATCGCTGTAATTAAGTCGGGGCGGAAGAACCAGCTGTATTCTCAGTATTGGGGCGAAGGGTAGAGATCCAGCCAGAAGTACCAAGTGTAAGTTGTTACATTCGTTGGCTCTCAGTGTCATTCAACAATATAACAAATTTTTTGAGTGCTGACTTTGCGCTAGGAACTGTGCTAAGGGCTTTGCACATATAATCACCTTTGAAATGTGATGGAAATGGTGTGTAGAAGATTAATACAATGGAAAAATATATACCAATGAAAATGAATGAACTAGAACTATCAAGTGCAAGCATATATGGCTGAATTTCAGAAACATTTGTCCAGTGTAAGAAAGAAGTATAACAACACTTTTATAGAGGTCAAACCAAGTAAAACTAATTTTGCTTAAAGAAACATGTAGTAAAATATATATAGAAAAGCAAAGAAATGAGAAACAAAACAAGGAATCAGGATATTGGTGACCTCTAGGGAGTAAGAAGGGTAGGATGCAAGAGAACAGGGAAAGGAACTGGGGAAGGAGTACATAGATATCCCTTCAGTGACTCAAGTTGAGCATATGTATGTTTCATTATTATGCATAGATGTTCATTACATGTATTTTGTACTGGATTTATTACAAAACATTCTAATGAAACAAATGTGTTTGTTATCTGTCAGGTGTTGGGAATAGGGATGGATATACTCAAACTTTAAAAAGTTATAACCCCCATGAAATAAAATTTAAAAAGCAAAATAACAGCAAAAACCCAAGACACACATCTTGAGGGAAGATCAGATATCAAATGCTTGCTTAGTATTCAGTTGAGGCACAAGAGCTCACTGGTACCCAAGGTAGAAATGACAGTGGGAGGCCAGGTGCAATGGCTTACACCTGTAATCCTGGAGCTTTGAGAGGCTGAGGCAAGAGGATTACCTGATTCCAGGAGTTTGAGTCTGTAGTTAGCTGTGATTGCACTACTGCACTCCAGCCTAGGGGACAGAGTAAGACCCTGTCTCTCAAAAAATAATAATAAATTAATGAATTAAAAATAAAAAAGAAATGACAGTGGGGAACGGCTATGGTTAGGGAATTTTGCCAGGGGGAGTGGTAATGGGATGAAATACACCATTTTCTTAGAGTGGTCCTCTGCCAAGAGGGTAACGCAAATGACTGAACAAGCATAGTTTCCCAGCTTGGCGGTGTCCACATTTCATGTGTAAGAAGTGTCAAAAGCAAGTAGTATAACGTGTCAATCCCATAGGTCTGGATGGTGAGGATGAAGGTGACTGGCAGAAGGTAGAGGAAGATACGTTGACATACCTCTGTTCTTTGATGAGCCTTTGATTCAGAAAAACTGGTAAGTCAGAGGAATTTAGTCAATTTTTTACTCAGGGCCACCTCGAAAGCTTCCTGCCACTGTTCTGCAGGGCCAACTCATTCCATTACTCCTGGTTTGTAGGAAGTTCATAAGAAGATGTAAGGTCTGGAAGTTGATGATGGGAGTGGAGTGTGGAGATGGCAAGCCCAGCCATCTCAGGCTGAATGGTGCCTTTAATATGAGACAATGCTGGGGTAGTCGTCAGCTCCCCAGATGTTGCTCCCAGATAGTGAACAGTCACCACCACTGAGTCTGCATCCTCTGAGTCAAGTGAAGAGACACATTAAGTGTAAAAGCCCTGTGAACATCAACGTTGGGGGCAAAGAGTAGGGCATTCACATGGAATTTCTCCCAAGAGGCCAAAGTGGCCATTTATTGCTTTGACTATCCAGTATGCCTTTCTTCTACAACAAATAGCTAGAGTTTCTTATAAAGAACTAAACTGCTCTTCTTTCAGTGCACATGGATCAAGCAAGGCTCTATGACTCACTACGCACAGGCAAGGCCTTGAATGTCCTGTTAAAGTTTGGACTCCGGGCAGTGGGAACTCCTAAAATCATTTAAAGCAGGGAAATAACATTATAAGATCTTAGAAAGATCACCCTCATAGCAGTGAGGAGAATGGATTCAAGGGAGGCCAAGAATGGAACCAGTAAGATCATTAAGGATTTGATTGCATTGGTCCATACAAGAGACAGGAAAGGATGGATTAGAGTAGAGGGAACAAAAAAAAGGGAGAAAATTAAGATCTAATGGGTAGTTGACTGGATATGAAGTGGGTGAGAGAGAGAGAGAGAAATGTCAATCATGATCCCAAGGCCTCTTGCTTGGTTGATAAGAGGGTAGTAAGGGAGAATTCTGAGTTTCTTCTTGGACATGTCAATTTTGATGACCATTGTGATAGAAGTGTCCACAAGAAAATTATATAAATCACTGTGGAGTCAAAAGGGTAAGGTTAGATGTGGACATTGAGAAGTCACTGGAATACCAGAGAAAGCTGAATCATGAAAGTGGATGACCTTGCCCTGACTCCTCAGAGAAGGTGAAAAGATGCTGTTGGCTGATGATATACCTTGAAGAACATTCACATTTAAGAAGTGGTCAGAAGAAGTCACAAAAGAGACTGAGAGAGAAGGATCTGACATTAAGAAGGCAACCTGGGGAGAGCGAGATGGCAAAAAAATGAAGAAGGTGGAGAGAATGTAAAGAATGAAGATGGAGTAACATTTAACAGACAGTGCAGGGGGTTTAAGTGAACAATGGACTGAAAAGTGTGCATTGGATTTAGCAATTGAAAAATTCCTGGGACATTAAGGAGAAGATTTGTGGAGCTTTCAAAAAGAAGCCAATAAAAAAATGAGATGATGATGAAGAGTAAAAAATTATTTCAGAAGCTTAGCTATGCAAGGTAGAGAGATGCTGGAAGAGCAGAAAGAATTGTATTCTATGCTTGGAGGAATGTGGCTGTGCTCACATGCCTAGGGGAAGAGACGGGCAGAAGATGAAGCAATGTGGAACAATGTGGAAAATGAACAGAATAAGGCCTTTGAAGAAGTCTGAATGGACAATTTCCACAATTCGGTATTGAGCTTTAAACTACAAAGCTGGATCCCTTTCACTCTACAACAAAAGGGAAGCAGGTAGAAAAGGATCAAGAGAGAGGATGGTAGAGTGCAGGAAAGGGGAATGGGAAATTAGGAGTTCTTGCTTGCTGGTCTTTAATGTCTGCAAGAAGTATAAGGCATGGCCATGCTTGAGGAAAGTGATAAAGATTTCAAGTGTCCCTTGAGGAAATGGGCAAGGGGGTTGACCACAGATACTTGGTAAGATTAGGGGTAGAAAATGTTTAAATACTAATCCATAGGAGCTAGTTAAAGTGGAGTGATTTTTTTTTTTTAGAAAGCAAGTCAAAGAATAATATATTAATATTTTCAGATATACAAACGTATATCTATTTCTATAGGATATGAAAGAAAACTGGTTAACAATAGAGTGGTTTACCAGGTAACAGAAAGGACAGTACGATTATTCAAAAGAAGGGAACTTTCATTGTTTTAATTTTAAGCATCTGGTACTTTTGTGCTTTTTACCTTTTTTCTTATACAAGGAGTGCACATTAGGGTATTCTATGATTTTTGAACCTTAACACATATTAATGTTTTGATTTCCCAAGGTATTCTTAAATACTTGCTCCTTGTCAAAAAAATTAAAGCATTACAAATACTCCTTGAATTGCCCTTTGACTACAACCTCCAATCCCAACACTCACCCTTAAAAGACATAACCTCTGTTTTAAGTTTCGTGAATATGTTTGTAGCCCTCAAGAGATACTATAAAAATCATTAAGAATATTTTTATTAAATTTAATGAAAGTAAAACTGTACCTCTGTAATATTCTGCAAAAAAAAAATTAGGAAGTATATCTAAATGTTTTCCTATAAAAGGCTATAAAATAGACTTCCAATAAAAGTTAACTTCCAAATTCTTAGAAGTTAAAAAAAAAAGAGAGAAAGAAAAGAAAGTAAAACTGAAAACAAATAAATGACTTTTTTCAAAAGGCCACTTTGTGATAAAGTACATACATATTAGTAGCCTGGTTTCCTTAAATGTCTCTGGCTTGAGAATCTTCTGTTGCTTTGAAAGGTCTTTGTGCACCACTCCTGCACTCTCACCAGGTGACATTAGCAAAGGTGTATTTGTGGGCAACACCTCTGCAACAGCATTTAAAAAAAGGAGCTCAGTCCCATGGGTTTTAAGTCCATCTGGATTAATAAGAGACACGACTATTGAGCAGGGATTGACATCTGCTCTTTTGGGTATGGATCCTGGGGTATTTTTAAAACTTTGTGCTAAATTTTTAGGTAGTCTTTTCCTTCCTGGTGAATCTAGAGGCTTCTTATCATGAGGAGAAAGCCTTGTTGACAGAGTAGGTAAATGAGATTTTGCTTCTAGAAATTTAACATAAAGTTCTAAAAAATACTCTTAAGCACAGATTGCTGGTTAGGTCTCAGAGGTGTGTTGGGACACATTTTTTCTTTGGAGACAGAGTCTTACTCTGTCATCCCAGTTAGACTGCAGTGGCGTCATCTTAGCTCACTGCAACCTCAAACTCCTGGGCTCAAGTGATCCTCCTGCCTCAGCCTCCCAAGTAGCTGGGACTACAGGTGCATGCCACCATGCCCAGCTAATTTTTTCTAAATTTTGAGTACAGACAGGATCTTGCTTTTGCTCAGCCTGGTCTCTTGACTTCAAGTGATCTTCTGCGTTGGCCTCCCAGAGTGCTAGAATTATAGATGTGAGCCACCGCAGCTGGCCACTTTTTCATCCTCCTCCAAGCCACCCAATCATCTACCCAGTGACAGTACCTTGATCTTCCTTCAACAACTGCTCCATTTCCTCCCATTTGATACCCAGAGTACTTCCCACTAATCCTAACACTTCATGTTGTTCCTGTTTTGGTGTTTGAAAATATCCAATGAAGAGGTTTCTTATGAGAACTTTGTTCCCTTTTCTTCTGTGCTGTTTAGTAAGTCTATCAATTTCTTTTGTACATCCTCCAGCTCTTCCTGTTGGACCTCATTTTGTTTTTACAGTTTTTCAATTTGTTCTTCCTTCAGCTCCAGGACTGCATTTGCTTTATACAAATGCTCCTGCAACAACACCAGTTTTCCTTCTAGATGTTCTGCCTTTTCTTTCCATTCAGCCAATGCTAGAGCATACTGCTTTTCTTGTTTCTTTGAGACAGAAAGCTGTAATGCCATTTCCTCTTTCTGCCTGGAGACCATATTCAATTTTGCATGCAGTGACTCCACCTGCTTCCTGGCATGCCTTTTCCATTTTCTTTGCAGGTGAAACTAGATTTTCTTCCAATACTGTGACTTTCATGGTTAATTTACCCACACTGTCTTTTGCAGCCAAAAGCTTCACAAATACAAGAATCTTCTGATTCTAAAAGTTGGTTATGTAGTCTCTGTAGCCCCTGGATTAAATGTAATTCTTTGTCACGTAAATGTTGAGCTCATTCTGGAGGGGTTGGTTTTCCATTTCTTTCTGTTCCAGAACCAGCATGGCTTGATCTCTCTCCTGCTGAAACCCAACTGATTTCTCCTGCATTGACTTAAGTGTATTTAAAATTTCATGTAATTCTCCACTTTTGCCTTCTTTTTCTTTCAATAATTGCTCAAAGTTGTGGGCCTCCTTCATTACATGACATTCAAACTCTTTTTCTCACAAGGTTGTAAAATATTTCATATTAGTCTCTTGTAATGCCTGGTATTCCATCTCCTTTTCCCTGGATGCTTCTATTTTTTCATTTTGCTGTTTCAGTTGACATGTCCATTTCTAAAATTGGCATTCTCTCCTTCAGGTTTCTTACTATTTGCCTCAAAATCTCATTTTCATTTATTTTATTAGTGAGATTTTTCTCTCCAGGAAAGAAATTGACTACTTTTGGCTTTTATGAAGAGGCTTTTCCCCTTAAGTAACTTTTGTAGAACATCTTTCTCTTTTAGCTGCTAAATTTCCAAATCCATTTGTTTGTGTTCTTTTCTTTCTAGTTCTGAGGGTGCAGCAATCCAATGGGACAATCTCCGATTATCTTCCTGGAGGGTTCTAATGGTTGCATCTTCTTCCTGCACTTATTTTCTTAGTTCTTCAATCTTTTGCTGGAGCAATTTAGAAGCACACTCAATATAGCAGTTTACTTGCCTCAGGAGATTCTGCTGACTGTGGAGAGGGTGATGATTGGGTAGAGAAAGGTGATAAAATATGGATGTGCCCTAAAAAACTATCCTTCTTATTGCAAAGCTGCTCTATCCTGTGCTGAATTTGTACTAATTCCTGCCCCCAACTTTTGAGTTTGGTTGCATTCCCTTCATAATTCTGAATGAATTCAGTATAGTTCATCTGTAGTTTACAGTTATTATCACTGTCAATTAAAATCTTTGCTCGAAGTTGGCAAAGTCCTTGAAGTTGGGCTG